ATGTCATGCAGCTGCTGGCACTGAACATTGATCACAAATGACTGCATTTAAATCACTCCTGTCTGAGTGTGAGCTGACAACTCCACAGAGGTCATCCGTCTCACTTAAATTCTGCATTATAATGATGTATTGCATAATACTAAAGTCAAATGTATAAGACAAACTACGTTTAGAAGGGGCAACTTGATCCCTTCATCTGGCTTTCCCTTCCCCTACAGGGAACTTTTGACTAGGCTTTGGTTTGTCCTTTCCCCTAAAACATAACTATAAGCCATCAAGTCCATGTATTTTCCCCCTTTTCTAGATACCATGTAATATACTTTGTGTATTGCTCCATACCCTACTTAATAATTCATCTTAGAAGTTATCCTATATGGACTGGTATATTAACACAGGAAGCTAGCATAGCTATTCCATAAGGGAGCCAGTGATGTGGCAGCTACTCCATTTCCAATCCAGCTCCCTGCTTATGACCTGTGAAAGCAGCAGAAGATGCTCAAATGCTAGTTCTCCTGCACCCACATGGGAGAACCAGAAGAGACTCTGGGTTTCTGGCTTCAGACCAGCTCATTGCTGTCCATTTTGGACATTTAGGACATGAACCAGGGGGTCAAAGACCATGTTTTCTTTGTCTCTTCTTTTCTCCGTAAATCATTGGGTCCACTCACCAGACAGGCAACTGCTCACATCAGAGTGGTGGAAGATAGTAGTTAATTTGCCAGAATGGAGCTAGGAGGCGGGAAGCTATTGCTCACTTGTAGAGATCTTCTTACAAACTGAGTAGGGTGTGCGTAACCATCCCCTGGAGAGGTGGTGAGGAAGCTGGATATCCGTTTGGGCCCCAGTGCCTCCTGGGATTGGTGGGCCACAGGAGACCAGCATGCTCTGGAAATGTTGTGAAAGCCACAAGCTCAACTGGAGGGGTCTGCAGGTAGGCTGGTTGCTATTGAGGACCTGTGGAAGGGCCAGTGAAACATCTCAAAGTAGGACCTGGTGGGAGGATGTTAGCTCCAGGGCTGATGCTTGCATTCTGAGTTTTTGCCATCTTGAGTTTTGGAGGCTGGCCTGGTGCCCTGGGCACTCTGTTTGCCTAGTTTGTTAATCTTCAATTTAGAGTGTAATTGAGACATCTTTGGTGAAGATAGAGATCTTACTAGTTCAGGTAGAGAGAGCCTGTAGCTGGAAAAACTATATCAGGGATTGGGGTCAGGAATCTGAGAGGGAACTGAGAACACATCTAAAGGTGAATCACTGGGGCCAATGCAAATCCTCAGTTGGCTTATTCTGTGCACTGCAAGTGCCAGCATCTCTGCGGTCCCTGGTTCATGTCCCAGCTGCTTCACTTCCAATCTACCTCTCTGCTTATGGCCTGGGAAAGCAGTGAATGATGACCCAAGTCCTGGCATTCTGTGTGCACATGGGAGATCTGGAATAAGCTCCTGGCTCCTGGCTTCAGATCATCTCAGCTCAGGCAATTGCAGCTGCTTGAGGAGTGAACTAGTAGATGGAAACTCTTTCTCTTGCTGTCTCTTCTTCACTCTGTAAAAACTACCTTTCCAATAAAAGATATAAATCTTATATATTTATTTATTTATTTATTTTGACAATCTCTACATAGTTAATTTGTGTAAAAAGTTTCAAGGGCTACAGGAAAGTGGGTAAGACTATTATTTCCATATTGTTTCCTTCATGTATCTGAGGTAAAGGGGAATATTGAGGGAGAAACCCCACCCAGTTTCCCACCCACCCCAAGTCCCGCATGTGGGCCATGCTCTGAGATACTTGCTCAAGTGGTTTCAATAGTTCACCAGTTGTGAATCGCTGCCAATTTCACCTCTCCAAACACGATGAGGTTGTTGAAAAATCCACTGATTGACATTGTCCATCATAGCGTCTCTATTTGCCCAGTGTTTTGTTGCCAACCTATAGCTGAGGCGGTTGATTAACTTGTTCCATCTTCTGTCCTTTCATGGTTAGGGTTCTGAGTCCGGTATTTCAACTGGGGAGATTCCCAAAGAAACTTTGTCCGAGGTGTTCCCAGACCAGATTCTTGTTTGTACTAGCAAGTACAGGGCCCGGCACAGTCCATTGCCCTGATCTGGTGGTTGATCTGGTGGTTGCAATTGCTGGGTTGGTTCTATTTTCAGCCCCAATTTCCACTGTAAGCAATAGGTACTGCAGTCCAGCCTGGTTCTGCCCAGCACATACTCGGCCCTCACCTAAATCAGTGGGAGCTGCATCCTGGTGAGAGCGACCCACAATAACCCCCATCAGGCCCGCCCCCTACCCTGGTTTGCAATTGGCATTGAAGCTTAGATCCATCTAACCAGCTCAACAATCAAGCCCTCACGGGTGTTGTTGAATGCCTCTCTGTCTAGCCACCCAAGCCCCAGTCCTAGTCTTCGTGCTCTCCCATGGAAGTGGTAACCCAAGAGGGGGGAACTCACTATTTCCCTCCCAGGTCTCTCACTCCCAGATTGTGCACTTTCTACGTGGTTCTGCAGTTTAATTTGACAGAATTAGCCCCCAGTGCCAGTTTCTGCCAGCTGGTGCTGCGGCTATGCCCAAACAACCCTCACCCACTCTAATTGTAGATTGCACCAATAGGATCGATCAGCCCAGTCTGGCTTTTCCCTGATATAATCCACATGAGGCATATAGGTGTTGTAGCCCTGCCTAGTCTGGTCTGCCCCCACCACCGGTCATGCTCTCCAGTGGGAGTAGCTGTCCAGCAGGAAAACCACCCCTTATTCCCCTGCTGGCTCTGCTCCCTCCCTTCCTTGTTCTCATGTGTGCTGGATGAGCACTGCAGTCACATCCGGCACAGACGAGCTCGCCCTGGCATTCTGTATTGTGGACTGGTTTTTATCGCGACTGAACCTGGCTCGACCCTCACTCTGTTCTGGTGCTCGGATTTGCCAGTGATGATGTGAACTGATTCAGCCTGGTCTGCCCCCATCCATGCCTAATGTATGCCAGTGGGAAACTTCTTGTGGCCTACTCTGGGCTGTTTCCATTGATGCTTCTTGCACTTACCTGCCAGGTCTGTCTCCTGCCACAGGAGTTGCCCAGGCTCCTCCATCAGAACCTCTCCCAAAGCCAGCTTTCGCACATACCAGAGGGTCCACCAGCCAGCCCTACTCAGTTCACCTCCTGTCCTAGCAGAAACAGTGGCTTTTCCTGACTGGCCTTTGACCCAATCTGGTTCTTGTTGGATGATTCAGCCCAGCCACGGCTTGTCCATACCCAGATGCAGCTCACATATGGTTCAGTAGGGGTTGAGACCTAGCCTAGTCTGTCCCACATCTATCTTGGTCCTCCAGGAACACCAGACAGTGTTGGGGTCTGGCACAGCCTGGTGCATCTAGTCCCAGTCCACACTTGTGCCAAGGGAGATTTCAACTGTTACCTGATCAAAACACAGCCCCCATTCCAGCCCACGTGCTCCTTGGCGGTAGCCTTAATCCAGTTAGTGTCCCCTTAGCTCCCCAACAGGGCCTGTTCCGTGATCATGGACCATGGGCATGTCATTGGTTGCTCTCACTCAGCTCCTCACTTGTACCGACCTCTACCTTGGACACTGGCTTAGTGTCCCTGACTTACACAGACCAGTAAGTACAAGAGCCTTGCTCGGCATGGCCTGTGCTCCATCCTGGTTTCCAGTTTTGCTAGTGGGCTAAGGCTTGTTCAGTCCTACCCAGTATACCCCATTCCATTATGAACCGATACATTAGCCAGCCATTGGAGCTCTCTTGCCCAGCTTGTCTGACCCCCAGGTCTGGACCACATATTCACCAGCGGGAGCTATGACCCGCCAGGGGAATTTCCCAAGATTCTCCACTTGATCCACTCCTGGACCCAGTTCTCATACATGCCAATGGGTTTTAGGCCAGTGCCCAATGCAGTCTGGCCTTCCATTTTGCCTTGTATGAGCTGGTGAATGTTACAGCCCGGCCCACCCCACACCCTATTCAGGATGCACATTTGAGTGCTGCTGCCTTAACCAGTCCAGACTGCTGTGGGTTCCTTTACCTGTGATTGATGACATGCTCCTTGTTCACCCTGAGCTTATTCTATCACCTCCACAACTCTTGAGCTAACCAGTGGGGCTAGAATTTCCACAGGGCTTGGCCCACACAGCCCCACAGAATCTACCCCTGGATATGGCTCTCAAGTGCTAGTTAATGTAATGGCCCTGACCAAAGTGACCATTCTCCAGATCCATCATCATGTCAGGTAACAGAACATGATTCTGCTGGACAAGCCCTGTGCCATAGCTTTTAGCATGTATTTGGTGGTCAGTATTGCTAAGTGATAACACATTCTTCAAAGGAAGAGTAACTGTCATTGGGAATCTTTAGAATATATTCACCTCACAGAAACAGTTTGGGTTCAACGTGGAGCTACATAAGCAGCAATTCAAACCACCAAAATTCCAGAGCTCCCCTGCCAGGCGGCCAGCACCCAAGGTGTGGCACCAAATGGCGCACTGGCTGCTCAGGTCCAACTTACCACATGCACATGATGGCGAGCTTGTGGGATCTGGGCATGAGATGCCCTGTTCCAGGACCCACCCACAGCTGAGAGCAAAATATACAAATCTTTAAAAAAAGATTTATGTAGTTTTTATCGGAAAGGCAGACTTACAGGGAGAAAGAGACATAGAGGGAAAGATGTGAAGCCAGGACCCAGGAGCTTTTTCTGGGTCTCCCATGCAGGTGCAGAGTCCCAAGGCTTTGGGCCATGCTCCAAGCTTTCCTAGGCCACATGCAGGGAACTGGTTGGGAACAAGCCCCTATGTTGGATCCCATTGGTTACAATGTGAGGACCTAGCCACAGGCTACCGCGTCGGGTTTCAGAGTACAATAAATCTTAAAAAGCAAAAAAATTAAATGGAGTCACAGACTTCAGACCCCAGTCTCCTCTAAACATGGTGTCAGCCCTACCGCCTAGCAAAAAGCTGGCCCCAAGGAGTTGCAGAAAATGTCCAAAGAGCACGGCTAGGGGCTCAGGGTGAGTTGGGTGCCTGAGAACAGCAGCTTGAAGAAAGGGAAGATCTTTCCCGGGAAGGAGGCCTGGAAAGTGTAGATGTGGTCCTTGGTATCAGGGTCGTAGAAGCTGACCTCTTCGCCCTCAAGATCCACGCAGACTCCCACTCTCCTGGGACAGACCGGTAGGAGCTCCCATGAGTCTCTCCCAGTGAGTGCCCTGCAATTGGAACTGGTGAAGCGCAGCACCCAGAAGCCACTCTTTGGCTCCAGGGTCAGGCCGCCCTTTCGAGGGGCCTGCTCCCATGCCACGCCCAGGACACATGACCCGTCCTGGGGTCCACTGCGCTCCACCACCCAGCTGTGGCAGCCAGTGGAGAATCCTGGCGAGCCCAACACACAACGGGACGGGTAGAAGTGTTGCGGCTCTGCTGGATCCTCTGAGTACTTCTGAAGGATCATATCCATCGTCACTGTTTTCAGATCCTGGGAAAACTTGAGGTCGGGATGGGCCGAGGCCACATTGAAGATCACAGGGGCTGTGGGAAGAGGAGGGGAAACAGGTGCAGCCCTGGGTTAAGTCCCTAACCAACAGGGGAAGATTTTCTCTTGCCAGTTGCGCCCAAGGGGACCAGTTCTGCGACCTGTGAGCAGGCAGGTTTTAGCTCCAGTGTGGACTGCACTCTGGAGGAGTGGAGTGGACACAGCAGCAGGGACCTCATATGTCCGCTAGAGGGCACCATGAGCCAGACGAAGGCCACAAGGTAGCGTGATTGTTGTTTCTAAGAACAAGTCCTTTCCTCCTTGGAGTCCTTGCCACCACAGCTGCCTGAACATCCAATCCCAGGAGACCAGACCCCTTCCTTAGCTCCCCTAAAGTAGAGCTCTCGATGGCCCCAGACACTCACTCAGCATCAGCTGCAGCTCCAAAGAGCTCGAGGGGCCATGGGTGCTCCTAGTGTTCCTGGCGTCATCCTCACTAGCATTCCCGGGAGCTCTCGCGAGAAACGTTTTGCCTTTTAGCAGGCGAGGGTCTGGACTAGCCAAATTTATCGTGAAGGATGACCGATATCGGGGTTGGCATAGAGTTGGGGTGTGGAGAGTTGAGGATCCTGTGGTGAAAGTTGGGTCACCTTTGACAGAGAAGGAAAGGAAAAAGCCAGATCAGTGGGAGCAGGAGGGCACTGCCCGCACAAGCTCAAGGAGCTCACCCTCCCAACTGTCTGCATCAGAATTACTTCTCTCAAGCAGACACTCTAGGAATTTGGGAGGGGAAGCTAACTTAGGTTTTGAAATCCAGAGGCTGTGAACTAAACAAAGGCAATGCGGAACCCAGCCAATCGGTAGTAACTGCAGCCAGTGATGCCCAGGGGGCACCACCACTGCCCCCAAAGGAAGAGTGGAAACCTTTCAGTTGGCCATAGGGTCATCAGGAGTGGTGGGGGTAAGGATGGGAGTAGGGGAGGAGGAGGGTTGCTGCTGGCCTGTGCTACTGGGACCTGAGTGTGGGAAGGTTGAGTTCCCCCTGAACGTGAAGTGTCCTGCCATTGTCTCTAAACAGAGATCTCGCCAAGGAGCATGCTTATTGCCCAGCAGGACGGCTAAGATGGCAGAGATGCCCTGCATCCAGCACGTCTAGACCCATTCTTATCTTTCCTGTCTCTGAGCAGGGAAGACATCAATTGATGATTTTTGATTACTTTAGAATGTTTTTGAATGGCTGTGAGTTACCTGGGTCTAAAAGCATAAAATAACCCCCTAGGACTATTCTTTGTGGGAAAATCCTCCCCCTCCCTTCCACTTTGGGAGTTTCACTCTCCTCCAATGGCAGGAAGCAGCCCCTCACCCCACTTACTGGTCTGCTGGCAGGTTGTCCTCTTGTCTTGAAGCATCTTGTCTTGATCTTTCTTAGTGCCATCCTTGAGCTGGTCTGGAGGTAGAGAAGAGAAGGCAAGAGAGGGCAGAGAAGTTAAGGATCCCAGGGTCACATGACAAGGCCCGAATGTGAAACCCCTAGGAGCAGTGAGCTGGAACTGTCTCCATGTTCTCAGTGCATGTTAGATTTTCCAGCCTTGCTGCCCTGCTTCCCTGATGTGGCCATGCAGCCCAGCACTGGTCCGGTGGACATCTGATGAGACCTGGAACAGGAGCCACTCATTTTAGGCAACTTAAAAATTCATGGGGACTGGTACCATGCTGTATCAGGCTAACCTGCTGCACAGAGGCATTCCATGTGGACACAGATTCAAGTCTCAGCTGCTCCATTTGATTCAGCTCCCTGTCTATGGCCTGGGAAAGCAGCAAAAGATGGCTGAATGCCTTGGTCCCCTGCACCCACATTTGATACCCAAATTGAGTTCTTGACTTCTAGTTTTATCCTGGCCCAACCCTAGGTGTTGTAGACATTTACGGAAGTGAATGCATGGATGGAAGTTTGCTGCTTTTTTTTGTCCAATTCTCTGCTTTTTAAACACGAATTTTGTTAGGTTTATTTATTTTTATAGAAAGGAAGATTCAGAATAAAGAAGAGAGATGCAGAAAAAGATCTTCCAGGCACAGGTTCAGTCCCAATTGGCAACAGCAACCAGAGCTTAGCTGATCAGAAACCCTAAGCTAGAAGCTTCCGGGTCTCCCACATAGGTGTAAGTTTCCAAGGCTTTGGATCATCCATATGGGATTCAGGTGCATGCAAGATGAGGATTTCAGTCACTAGCCTACTGTTGTCACCTAAAATGAACCTTTTAAAAATTGTCTAAGGGGCCAAGACGGTAGCTCAATTGGCTAGTCCTCTGCTTGTGAGCACTGGAATCCAATATGGGTGCTCGTTCATGTCCTGGCTGCTTCACTTCCTGTCCAGCTCAAATATTGTGGCCTAAAAAAGCAGTGGGAGATGACTCAAAGTCTTGGGACCCTGCGCCTGCTTAGGAGCCTGGGGAAGCTCCTGGCTCCTGGCTCCTGGTCTGGATTGGCTCTAGCTATTGTGGATACTTGGGGAGTGTGCCAGTAGATGGAGGATCCTTCTCTTCATCCCTCAGTAAATCTCACTATCCAATGAAAGTTAATCTTCAAATTAAAAAAATCCAACTTTCCAATAAAAGTATCGTTTTTTAATACATTCATTTTGGATAGATTTTTAAATCTTTTTCTTATACACATTTTCCATGAACACTTACACATGCCTCATAAAATTTTTATTAAATATTTTATTGGAAAGGCAAATCAGATTTTACATATGTTACAGATTTTACATATGTTACAGATTTTACAAATACTTGGAATAGCAGAATCTGAGCCCATCTGAAGCTAGGAGCCATGAGCCTCCTCTGGGTCTTCCATATGGGTGCAGGGTCCCAAGGCTTTGACTCATCCTTTGCTGCCTTCTCAGACTGCCTGTAATGTTACATTTTGCAGGATTGGAGCCAGAGTTGTGGCACAGCAAGTAAACTGAAATCTGTGATGTCAATAATCCATTTGGCCACCTCTCCATTGGGTGCTCATTTCTGCCACACCACTTTCAATCCAATACCCTGCAAAAGGCCTGGGATGCCCAACTGTTTGGACCCCTGCCCTTCTTGTGGGAAACACACACGGAATTCCTGCTTGCACTTCAGCCTGGCCCAGACCCTGCTGCCACAGCCATTTGGAGAATGAGAATAGGCTGTCACTCATTCTTTTTCTGTCTCTTCTATCTTCTTGATGCTCAGCCTTTTGAAATGATCAGCTAATAATTAAAATCATTAAAAAATTAACAACAACAACAAAAGAAAGTGGAGATTCATGGATAAATGGGGAAGGGGGTTGTTACTGGGGGCATTACCCTCATCTTCCTTTTGCATTTAGTGCATGGAAGACTTGGGGGAGGGGAAGCTCTTATGCTGGTCCTAGGAAGAAGACTCCATTCAGCCACCTTACTCTCAGTTAAACACACAAGGCCTTCACACTGAAGGGCATCCCTACAAATACCAACCCTTTTTCCTGGTTGTAAATCAAGAGTACTTCTTAATGAATTTCTCATTCAGTACCCAACTTTGCACTTCTGTCCTGGCTGATCTGTTTTCGTGCAAGACAGAATCTCTAAAACATCATCAATTATGAATGCATTTTCTGTAGTCAGAAGTAGCAATATGCATCAGAGAAACAAACAAACAAACAAACATGGGCCAGAGATCATAGAGTCTGCAAGCCCTGGGGAGGCAGAATACTGCCCCTCTGCCCGCAGTCACTTCCCTAGGCCAGGGGGTTAATACAAGAATTGATGAGGGGTGAGTGTAGACTAGTACCATGTGGAACAGAGCATGGGAGAAATGCTTGAGGCAGGCATGGCCAGGCTCATAGACACTGGCAGGGGAAGGGTGCCATCCATGATAGCCACTGACAGGAGAGACTCTTCCAGGTGGGGAACAGAGACCCTTTCAGCCTCTTTCTTACCTCCACATTTCCTCAGGGTGTCAATCACAGAGTCATGTCTGGACTTTGCTTCATTGAGTTGTTGATCAAGGTCCAGAGGAATTGGGGTTTTGCTGTGAAGCTGAACCTGAAACTCTTCACTCCTAGGAGAACAAGACAGAACTGGGTGGGGAGTCCGGTCCTTTGGGCCCAGCCTTGTGGGGATGGAATCACAGCAGTGGGAGTGGCAGTGGACATCAAGGACTAGGGAGCGTTGAATCACAAAGCCATCACTGATGATAGGCTAACGTGAGAAGCTGCCCAAGGAGACTTGGACATGAAGGGAATAGGAGAAAAGCAGTGGGGCAGGGAGAGGGGACTGGGAGGCATCCTGCTGAGCAGGGGGCCTGCAGGATACCCCAGGAAATGGGGATAACAGCTCAGGCCTCACACAACCAACTCATTTGCTCAGCTCAGATTTTCCTCATGCAGCCTAAACCTGAGTGCAAAGTCCCAGGGTGTGGGTGTTCGTGAGCAGGAAACATTGAGGGTATCTGAAGCTATGTTGAGTACTGATAAGTGAATGACTCAGGGGCAGCATGCATGTGGGCTGGTCATCATACCTGTGCAAGATGCCTTTGATGCCCTGCAAGAGAAAGAAAAACAGCATGGTCTCAGCACCCAGCTCCCCCATGAGGCCACAAGGAGCCAAGGAGGCGAGGGGGTGTGGGCAAAGCCAGGGGAGTGAAAACATCTCTGAGACTCTCTCTTTCTCTCACTCTCTCTCTTCCCTGCTGTCACTCATGGGACTCCTTCAAGAAGTGCTGATATGGCTGAAAGTGGAAATCATGGTTAGACATCAACAAGAACCATTGATGATCAGAAAGAGAGTAACATTTTGCTAATGAGATTTTTTTGATACTTAACTTGCAAGGGGGCCATATTCCCTGGGACAGGAAAAAGATAGGAGTAACTTTGCATGAAATTTCTTGAAAGAAAAGAATAATCATTCCAACCAGCACAACTAACAATGGTTTATAAAACCCAGAAGTGGCTCCTGGCTTTTGCCTGGCACAGTGCAGGCCACTGTCACCATTTAGGGAAGGAACCAGTACTAGCAGGTAAATCTCTTTCCCTGCCTTTACCTGTCTCTCTGTAGCTCTGCCTTTCAAGTAAATAAACAAACGAATTTAGAAAAAAAATTATTTTGTGGTAAATATTTTGGAATCTACTTACAATTTATTCATCACATGGATTTTTGAAAAACTGGAAATTTACTTTTATTGGAAAGCAGATTTACAAAGAGAAGAAGAGATAGAAGGAAATATCTTCCATCTGCTGGTTTATTCCCCAAGTGGTTACAAGAGCTGGAGCTGAGCTAATCTAAAACCAAGGGCCTCTTCTGTGTCTCACACATGGGTGCAGGATTCCAATGCTTTGGCCCATCCTCTGCTGCTTTCCTAAGCACATTAGTAAGGAACTGGACTAAAATTTATGCAGCTGAGATGTGAAGCAGCACTCATATGGGAGCCTGGTGCTACAGGCAGCATCTTAACTCACTAAGCCACAGCACCAGTCACACAATCTTTTTAAATATAATTTCCATCTGTCTGAACATCACAGGAAAGAGAAAATAGAGAAATGTGCCATCTGCTGGTTTACTCCCTGAATGCTCACACAGCCAGGGCTGAGCCAAGTAGCAGTCAGGAGCCTGAAACACAGTCCCGGTCTCCTACATGGGTTGCTGAATCCCAGGACTTGCCCCATCACCTGCTTCCTCACAGGCCCCACAATAGTAGGAAGCTAGTTGGGAAGTGGAGGTAGGGCTTCGACCAGGCACACCAACAGGTTACGTGCATTCTCCAAGTGGCCTCTCAACCACTGTACTGAACACTTGTCCTTGAGCATGCTGAAGCTCTTCCCCTGTGACTTGCAACAAATTTCTAAATTATTCATGTGGTTCATGTTACATTTTTTAATTATGCTGGGCAGTAACTGACAGTATATTTCTGAATTATTTATGTGGGTTACCTACTCTAAGTCACACATGTGGTTCATACTACTGTTCCAAATGACACATTACCATTCCAACTTTCTGCTGGATGGTGCGGCCCTAGAGGTAGTGTTGAGGATTCTGCCAGGCACAGGTGTGCTGGCCAGACACAAGCCTTGAGCTCTGCTTTGCAGTGATTCCACCCCCTAAGCAACTCACCTGCAGCAGCTGTCTGGGTAGCATCTGCTCCTTGGCCTTCAGGGAATCCTTGAGATCCTTGAGTGAGGTGAGCAGTGCCTGGGTGGCAGCGTTGTAGTGCTCACACTCTTTGACTCCATGCTGAGCCTGCTGCTCGATGTTGGATAGGAGAAAGTTCTTATTCTCCTCCAGCACCTGCTGCAGGTGCGTGAATTCCGTGTGGATCCGTTGTTTCTCAACATGCACCTGGGCCTTGGTACAATAACAGGGACACAGAGAAGAGGTGTTCTCAACTGCCCTTCATGTGATGTTATTCCATTTTAAGTTTTGTATTTGATTACACTGAGTACCGATGTAGAACAGAGTACAGAATTGAGGGGAAAACAAACTTCTTCTTTTTTTTTTTTTAGTTTTGATTTTTATAGTGCAATTTCATAGTTTCTGGGATTTCCCTGTCACCTTCCCAGACTTTCACCTCCAGACTGCTTTTCCCCATATTAGTACAATAGACAATATCTGGGTTGTTCCCATGTATTTGCTATTGTAGATTATACTGCTCTGAATATAGGATAACAGATTCCCTTCTCACATGCAGATTTCATTCCTTTGCGTATATTCCTAGGAGCAGGATAGCTGGGGCATATAGTACACTTATTTGTAATTCTCCAAGCACTCTCCATACAATTTTCTGCTGTGGTTGTACTAGCTACACTCCCGCCAGCAGTGAATGAGGGTGCCTTTCTACATGCATCAATGCCAGAAGGGGTTATTAGTTGAGTTCTGGATGTAGGCCTGCTTCACTAGAGTTACATCTGGGGATCCTGAGCATCTTTTCATCTATCTGTTCACCATGTGAATCTGTTCATTTTTGAAAAATGTTGTTCATTTATTTGCACCATTTCTTCACAGAGTTTTTGTTTTTGTAACTATCCCTGGATTTCTGAAGCTCTTTGAAAATACTGGTAATCAGTCCTCTATCACTTGTGTAGTGTAGAAAGATTTTTCTCCCATTCGATTGGTCCTGATTCACTTAATTATTAAGTATTTCCTTTGCTGTACAGAAGTTTTTAGTTTGATGTAGTTACATTTGTTTATTTTGTCTTTGACTGTCTGTAATTTTGTCGTCTTTTACAAAAAGTCTTTCCCTATTCCTATATCTTTGAGATTGCTTCCTATGGTTTTCTTTAGTAGTTTGATGATTTCTGGGTGTAGATTTAGGTCCTTGATCCATTTAGAGCAGATTTTTGTATAGTGTGACAGGTGCGGGTCTTGCTTCATAATTCTGCAAGCTGCTATCCAGTTATCCCAAAAGCATTTGTTGAAGAGACCAAGATTTTTCCTGAACTGTTTTCAACTTTCTTGTCAAAGATTAGTTGGCTATACATGTGTGGGCTCCCTTCTGGTGTTTCTATTCTGTTCCATTGACTTCTCTGTGTCTGTACCAGTACCAGACTGGTTTGATGGCCACTGCTCTGTAGTATGTCTTGAGGTCTGGAATTGTGATTCCTCCAGCTTGATTTTCATTCTTCATGGCAGCTTTGACTATTTGTGATCTTTTGTGGTTCCAAATTAACTTTTGTATCATCTTTTCTATTTCTGAGAAGAATATTGTTGGTATTTTGATTGGTATTGCATTGAATCCTTTTATTACTTTTAGTAATATGGACATTTGATGATATTGATCTTGCAATCCAGGCACATGGTAAGTTTCTCCATCTCTCAATGTGTTCTTCTCTTTCTCTTTTTAGGGCTATATAACTTTCACCATAGACGTCTTTAACATATTTAGTTTAATTCCTAGGTATTTAGTGGAGATTGTACGTACAAATTTCTTCTCAGCCATGGAATTATTTCTGTACACTAGTACCCTTGCCTTGCACTCATTAATTTTGTATCCTGCTACCCTGTCAATGTCTCTTGTGAGTTCCAATAATCTCTTGACTGAGTTTTTGGTTCTCCTATTTAAACAATCGTATGTCTACAGATAGAGATGATGTCAGTTCCTCATTTCAAATTTGGATTCCTTTAATTCCTTTTTCTTGCTGTGGCAAAGACTTCCAATACTATATTGAAGAGTAGTTATAACAGTGACATCCCTATCTAGTTTCAGATCTTAGTGGAAAAGCTTCCAATCTTTCCCATTTAGCACATTGCTGGAGTTGGTTTTTTCGTATATTGCTTTGTGTTACAGAATGTTCTTTCTATGCCTATCTTGCTTAGGATTTTTAGCATGAAGTGGTGTTGAATTTTATCAAACACTTTCTCTGCATCTGTTGAGAGGATCTTATGGTTTCTATTTTTCAATTGTTGATGTGGTGAGTCATAGTTTTTGCTGTGAGAATGTTGAACCATCCCTGCATGCTTGGGATAAATCCCACCTGCTCTGGATGAATGATCTGCCGGATGTGCTGTTGGATACTGTTGGCTGGTATTTTGTTGAGGATCCTTGCATCTATGTTCATCGAGGATTTCAGTCTGTAGTTCTCTTATTCTGTTTTGTTTTTTTCTCTGTCTGACTTTGGTATTATGGTGATATTGACATCATAGAAAGAGTTTAGGAGAATTGCCTCTCTTTTTGTTTTTTGGAAAAGCTTGTGGAGAATTGGAGCAAGTTCCTTTTGAAATGTTTGGTAGATTTCAGCAGTGAAGCCCTTTGGTCTAGAACTTTTCTTGGTTGGGAGGGTTTGATTACTGATTCAATCTCAGTCCATGTTATAAGTCTATTTAGATTATTAATTGCTTCTTGATGCAGTTTTGGTGGATTGTATGTGTCCAAAAACCTACCCATCTCTTCTAGGTCTTCTGATTTGTTTGCATGTAGTTACTTGTAATAGTTCCAGATGATTGTTTTTATTTCTGAGATGTCAGTTTTGTATTTCCTTTTTTGTCTCTTATGTTATTCATGCACATTTTCTCCCTCTTTTGTTTGATTAGTTGACATAGTGGGGAATCTATTTTGTGGATTTTCTCAAAGAACCAGGTAACCAGCTCTTTGATTCATTGATCTTATGTATTGTTCTTTTGCTCTCTATTTTGTGTATTTCCTCCATTTTTTTTTCTACTAGTCTTTGTATTGCTTTGCTATTATTTTTCTAATCCTTCCAACTGGAAGCTTAGTTCATTTACTAGTTGCTTTTCTAGTTTCTTAAAGTAAGCATTGATTGAGATGAACTTTCCTCTTAACATTGCCTTGATTGCAACCCATAAGTTTTAATACGTTGTGTTGATGTCTTCCTCTATTTCAACTAATTTTTAATGTTCCCTTTGATTTCCACTTTAACCTATTTCTCATTTATTTGCCTATTATTCAGTCTCCATGTATTTGCATGTCCTCCTGGGTCTTTTGACTTCCTGGTCTTTAGATTGACTCCATGATGGTCTGAGAGGATGCATGATGTATGTTTGATTTTTTAAAATTTTCTGAGGCTTGTTTTGTGGACTATAATATGGTCATTTCTGTGGGAGGTACCATGTGCTGATGAAATAGTGTAGTCTCTGTAGGAGAAAAGGTTCACTAGATACCAACTAAGTTCTGTTGTTTCTTTGCTGAGGTTCTAAATCGTTGATATGTGTGATGTTAGAGGAATTATTAATGTCCACCACTATGTATTGGAGTCTATTTCTCCCTTTAAATCCATGATATTTGTTTCACATCACAAGATGGGTTGGCATTTGGTACAAATATATTTATTATGATGATATCTTCTTGCTGAATGGATCCTTTGATCATTGTGTGGTGTCCTTCTTCATCTCTTACAATGTTTTTCAAATCAAAGTCTATAACATCTGATATAAGAATGGCTACATCTGTCTGCTTTACCTTGTCATTATCTTGCAATATCTTTTTACATCCTCCTTCTATCAATTTGTACTTATCTTGGCTGGTGAGATGTATAATCTGTGTGGGCAATATTTTTGTTGTTAGAATCTGGAATATGTCACTCCTTTCTTTTCTGGCCTGTAGCATGTTCTCTGAGAGGTCAGCTCTCTGTTTGATTGGCGTTCCTCTAGAAATCACTTGATTTTTTTTCACATATAAATTTAAGGATCTTTTCCTTAGGAGAGCTTGATTATCATGTGTCATGGTGAAGTTCACTTTTGATTAACTCTGTTGGGAGTTCTGTGTCCTTCCTGGGTGCTGTTTTCTAATTCTTTCTCCTCATTAGTGAAATTATTGCTTATTATTTCATTGAATATTGTCTTAACCCTAGCTTCTCTTTCTGCACCTTCTGGAGCCCCGTAACTCTTTATGTTGGACCTTTTAATCATATCTTTTAATTATTTTATACTGGTTTTTTTGTTTGTTGTTGTTGTTGTTTTTTAGCTTGACCCAGCTCTGCTTCCAGGTTTTTGTTTGTTTGCCCGGTGACAGGAATTACCTTCCAACTCTGAAATTCTTCTGCTTCATTCATTCTGTTATTTAGACTTTCCACTCTAATTTTAATTTGCTTCATTCTGTTATTAATTTCTGATATATTAGCTTTCATTTGATTCATTGCTGCTATTTCCTGCGTTTAATATATTCCTTAAATTCTTTGAACCTTGTATGTGCTTCTTATTGTTGATAAGAAGCTTTATAACAAGTATTCTGAATTCTATATCCCCCATTTTCTCAGTGTCTTCCTGAGTTAACTCTGAGGGTTGTGGAGGCTTTTGTTCCTTTGCCGGAGTGTCTTCAGTAATATTCATTGTGCCTTTGTCTCTCCTTTCACCTTTGGTCACTGCTGTTCTTGTTAGTAGTTTCTAACAAGAACAGTAGTGCGTGCGAATTTGAAGGGTCTACAACTTGGTTTTATAATTCAGTCAGTGCCCTAGAGTAGGAAAACACCAATTGTCCTAAAAAACTGTATTATTGGCAGTGCTGATTTACTGACACCAGCTGGCCGTTAAGTCTGAGGGCCACCTGAAACTATTTTGAGTGGAGCCTGTAGAGTGCCACAATGGAACTATTTTATCCAAGGGACCTGCACAATGCACTAAGCTGAAAGTGAGTTTGCTCCCAGTTTAGTGTTTGGATAGGTCAGCTGCTGTCCCAGCAATCCCCTAGATTCTGGTCCTGTAAAAACTGCACCTGTTCGCTACTGATTTAGCACAGGTGCAGTTACCTCTGCTCCTCCTACTCTTTCCCTTCCCCCTCAGTTTTTGCCCCTCAGAGCAAATTGATGCTTGACAGGACAATGATGAAGTTCTGGAGTTGCTGGCTGTCAGATCCAGGTACCACACAGTCCCTGCAGGATGCAAAGCTGGCACTGTTTTCCTTATGGCATAAGTTCAGTGCAATTAGCTAGACATGAGCCCCCTCCAGACAATCCCTTCAAATCCACACTCTTTGCGCTACTACACAAAATGGTGTCCTTTCTGGCACTACTGAGTCTGTGATGTGAGATCTACCCCATTCCTGAACTTTGCCTTGGAGTCCACTGCTCCCTCTCTGCTTATTATTGGGTCAGACACATCAGCAGGATGGGCAGTTCTTTGTCTGTACTCACCTCTTAAGTTCCTGGTCAACTCCAATTCCCACCTGGCTGCCACAGATGCTGTGGACACTACTGAATCTCTGGCTCCCGCTGGGAGCCCAGATGGTCTGAGTCCAGATCACTGCTCTATGGCTGCTGGTGCACTATCCTATCACTGCAACACCGCTCCACCATTACTCCTGCTACCCCATGTACAGGGGTCTCCAGGTACTGCCATGCCAACTGCCTGACCTATCTTTTCCTGGAATCTGCTCCCTGTGTTTCACTCTGTGTAATGATTCTTTGTCATTCCAAACCTGTCTGCACATTATACCACCACATTGCTGACCGAGAACAAACTTTTTTTTCTTGAAAAAAATTTGTTAATTTGAATGGCAAAGAGAGAGAGAAAGAGAGCAGGGAGAGAGAGAGATCTTTTCTTTGCTATTTCACTCTCTGAATGCACACAACAAGCTGAGGTGGGCCACATTGACACCAGCAGCCAGAAACTCCATCCAAATCTTCCACATAGGCTCAGGGGCACAGGCATTTATACCTTCTGCTGCTACTTTCACAGGTGCAAAGGCAGGGATCTGGATTAGAAATAAAGCAGCTGCATCTCAAACAAGTACTCATATGGAATGCTGGTATCAAAGCAGGAAGATTAGCACACTGCACCATGATGTAGGCCCCGAGAACATACATTTAAAAGTACTTCTCATGGCAGTGTCATGGTACAGCCCATTAAGACATTGTTTGCAATGAAAACATCTCATATTCAAGTGCTGGTTCAAGCACAGGCTGCTCTGTTTGTAATCCAGTTCCCACAAATGCACCCTGGAAGACGAGAGAAAATAGCCCAAACTCTGGGCTCCTGCCACTGCATGGGAGACCTGGATGAAGTTTAGAGTTCATGCCTGCTGTCCAACCACCTCCTCGCCATTGAGGCCATTGGAGAGTGAACCAATGAGTGAAAACTCTGTCTCTCCTCTGACACTCTCACTTTTACTCTACCTTTCAAGTCTTCAATTTTTTTTTAATAAGAGCACTTCGTTTGTGCTCACTGCCATATTCTGCTATCATTTAAGTCATCATTTTTGTTTCAGAATTTGCCTAAAACTGATTTTCCAGAAGGTTGTTCAGTTTTAACTTGCTTCCATGTAGTTTTTAAAAATTTCATTTGACACGCCAAAACCAAAATAACACAGGGTAGGGTTTTCCTTTACCTTGAACTGGCTGATATTCTTGTCAACTTGAGCCTTCATGTGTACCAGTTCCTGCTCCTTTTGCTCCAAGATCCCCACATGCGATTGGATCTGCTCCTGTGAGGAGAAGGATCTTCAGTCAAGGCTCTGCCTTGATTGCTCTTGGGCTCATGAAAGCCACCCCATATCTCCAGATGGTGCTTGAAAACTGCCGAAGAACTCCCCAAAACCTTCCCATCCTGTTCTACTAATGGTTTCACCCCAGTTTTGGGTTTGCTGCTATAGGCCTGGGCAACCATTGAAGGATGGCCCAGGTCCTTGGGTTCCTGCATCTCTGTAGGTGACTAGGAAGAAGCTACGAGCTCTCACTTGTGACTGTCTCAGATCCAGCTGTTTCAGCAGTTGGTGGAGTGAAGATGGGAGACTTTTCTCTGTCTCTGTGTCTCTATATGTCTCTCTCTGTTTCTCTCTCAATCTACATGTTTAAAAAAAACAAAACTTTTTTTTAAAAGATGTTAAGTTTGATTTGAAAACTAAAGCATCTGAGGTTCAGAGAACCCAAAAGATCTCTTGAAAGTTGCACACTCAAGTTGAAAGTCACACAATCAAGTTGAAATCCAAATTTGAGCCCAAATCATTTTTTATTTTATATTTTATCTTATTTTTAATATTGCTTACATAGTTGAGAGGGAATCATGCTTATATGCATCTCTGAATAGGGTGGGAAGTGTCAAGTTACAGGAAGAGGGGAGTGGAAACTATATTTCAACTCTTTTTTCTCCCTTGTCTGCTGGGGGCAGTTAATGGGGTAAAGGAAGTGAGCTGTTCTTGGATCAAACTACATGTGACATGATAATGTCTTGAAAGATCCCAATGTGGTGTCCATATCTTCTGAATCAGATTCCTTGTCTTGGGGCCAATACATGGCTCCAGAGGATAATCCTCCCCATTCAAGTGACAACGTCCCATTTAGGTACAGGTTCACATCCTGGTTGTTTTGCTTCTAATCCAATTCTCTGCTTATTGTCTAGGAAAGCAGAGGAGGATGACCTAAGTGCTTGGGACTCTGCACCCATGTGGAAGACCTGGAAGAGTCTCCTGGCTCCTGGCTTAGGATCAGCTCAGCTCTAGCATTTGCAACCATTTGGGAAATGAGCCAGTTCGTGGATCAAATTTCACTCCTTCTCTTTGCTTATCTACCTTTAAAATAAAAATAAATAGTTCTTCTTTTTAAAATCAGTGGGGGGTCTGACATGATGTCCTAATTGACTAATCCTCCCTTTGCAAGCAAAAATATCCTATATGGTTTCCAGTTTGTGTTCTGGCTAGTTCCCTTCCCATCTTGCGCCATGTTTATGGTATGGGAAACAGCAGAGGATGATACAAACCCTTGGTACCCTGCCACAGATTGTAAACATACAGTAAGCCCCTGGGTCCTGGCTTCAGATTGGCTCAGTTAGGACTGGTGCTGCATTTGGGGAGTGAACCAGTGGATGGAAGATCTTTCACTGTCTGTCACTCCTTCTCTCTGTAAACCTGTCTTTCCAATATAAATAAATAAATATTTTTAATGCTTTTTTTTCCCATCCTCCACTATTTCCTTGTTGGCCAGGACAGCAGTCTTAGATTAGAACCAGGAGTTCAGTGGACCTGGCTAGGTAGAACCCGCAGGAGTCACAGAGAACAAACCCACATGAAGGAGACAACAGTTTGCAGAGCTCCATCAAACTCCCATCAGCAATGGGGAGTCCCCATGCCTACCTGGCGATGCTTGACAGCTTCTTCTATCACTCTGGATACATGTAGTTTGTGCTCCTTCGAGTCATGACACACCACACAAAGGAATTGCCCATCTGCTTCACAGACATAGTGCAGCTTCTCCCCATGCTTTGGAAATCTCAGCTCTTTTTCTTTCTGCTGCCTCTCTGAGGGATCCATACCTCGAATTTTCTCTATCAGATTTGCCAACAGCAAATTGGGTGCATATGTGTTCTTCTTCATATAAGTTTTGCAGCGGAAACATTTGATGTGATACTTAGAGGCTTCCTGAAGCTGAGTGATGCAAAAATTGCAGAAGTTGTGCCCGCACTCAATGGTGACAGGGTCCTGCAGAATGTCCAGGCAGATGGGACAGGTCATTTCCTCTTCTAGGTCGGTAAAATCCCATTGGCTTGCCATGGCAGAGCATCCAGGCTGATTCTTGTCTGTAGGATTGCTGTAAGTTTACAGTGGAAACCAATGCTGAAAGTGAGAAGGAACAAGAGCAAAGAGAAAGTGAGTCTGTCAATCAACCATGGGAGCAATGTGGGAGGAAAAGAAGAGAGAGAAAAAAATAATTGAAAGGAGTAAGATTTTCAACCCAGTGAACATTCTGTAGAGGGAAATCAGAAGGACAATCCTCTTCAATCACTGCTTAGGAGAAAAATGGCTACTGAGAAAGCGTATTTGCTGATTATGGTATTGAACCTTAGACTGGCTGAGTATAAGGCAGGTGACTGGATCAGAAGGGCCGTGGCAATAAAATCCAGTCACGGAGGACTTTTCAAACAGCATTAGGAAGAGGGTGGAGTGTTTGGGTGGCAAGGCTGTGGGCATCTCCTACAGTGGAGCTAAACCAGAGGAAGGAGAGACAGAGAGAGAGAGACAGAGAGAGAGAGAGAGAGAGAGATTGAGAGTTAGTGGCCAGGAGGAGGGAAATTAGTTCTACTGCAAGTAATGTGGCTCCTCCTTAAAGAATCTTGTGAAAACATAGAAGATACAATCACCAACATAGACCATTCTTCTCTTGAGAGATTCTCAGTCAAGTGGAAGATACAAGGAACTTCCTTTCTGTTTTTGTTTTAGCTTGTTTTATTTTGTTAGAAGATCTATTTTATTTATCTTTGAGACAGTTGCAAAGAAAGCAATGGAGAAACCAAGGGAGTCAGAGATCTTCTTTCTGCTGGATGACTCCCAAGATGACTACAATGGCCAACATTGAGCCAGTCCAAAGCCATGAGTAACTAGCTTCTTCTAAGTTTCCCACATAGGTGTATAGGCACAGGCACAGGGACAAGCACCTGGGCCATCCTCCACCACCCTCCTAGGTATATCAGCGGTGAGACGGTTTGGGAAATGAAGCACCAAGGATACAACTTGTCACCCACAGAGGATGCTAGTGCTGTAGGCAGAAGCTTAACTTATTACTCTACTGCACTTCCTTTCTAAACTTCATCCCCAGGAACTTCCTTTCTGAACCTCATTCTGTTTTCCACATTGTTTTCAAACCTGGTAGAGCTCTTCCTGATGCACACCAGCTATAGCTTTATCCTCTCTGCAACCTTCCCCTGTAAGGCTCCAATTCCTCGTGTGTGTGTGTGTGTGTGTGTGTGTGTGTGTGTGTCTGTGTCTGTGTGTGTAATGATTATTCTGTGTTTCTTTCTTGTTAAAATTCACCCTGATTCCTGATTTTCTTTTTCTATACATTTTGTCCTAACTGTAAAACAAGAAAGAAGCACACTGATCACTTTTATCTGATGTTTATCTAAGGTCAACAGAGATGGTGAATAATTTTATGATCATACATAGGGCATATATTCCACCTGGTTTTACCTTTGCCCTGGTATAATTATTAACACTATGCCCTTCATTTCTCAAATGTATCCCCTTTAGATGTTAAATTACATGACTACCCGAGTCATAGCAGTTGTTGGAAGCCAAAGGCTTTTGGAAATGTTCTACTTCCAAGCCTCTCTGATTGCTTTAAGGCTGAGTTAAAGCAGTGTTTTGTAACCTATATTTACCCAAACTGCAGTTCCCTGGAGACAGAATTTAACTTTTAGTCAGGTCTCCTTTGATGGTCATGGTGATGCAAAAAGTTGAAATTTAAATGTTTTTAGGTGGGTGTATTCTTCCCCACTGCTCTATTATCTTGGGTATCCCTATCTGCAGATGTCTTCCTATGTATGACCCTGACTTCCTTTGAGTCTCTTCTGGGAAAAACTATCTCTAGCCATTCTCAGTGAAATCAAGCATCATATGCCCTTGAAGCCTTGTTAAAGCTCAGATTAGCTGAACCTTGAGCTAGAGTAAAGACTTGATTATTCACCTTCTAAATTCTTACTTATATTCTAGTTTTTTTCATTTGAAGCTGAGAGAGAGAGAGAGACAGAGAGAGATGAGGCTTTATCCTCTAGTTCATTCCTCAAGTGCCCATAACATCTTTGCTGCTAACTCAGGCTGGATCCAGCACCCAAGAACTGAGCACAGGTCTTCCACAGGGGTGACAGGACCCAAAATATTTGAGCATCACCTGCTGCCTTCCAGGTACGCACATGAACAGCTAAGTGGATTGGGAATGAAAGTGGAAGAGCTGAGACTCCAAGTAGTGTGTCCCACACAGATGTTGGCATCCAACAAGTGATTCTACCACTGACCCATAGACCCACTGCTACCTGCAGTTTACAAGCAGTTTGATTTAATTAGAAGAGCTGGGAGGACTGTGTCTGAAATCTTCAGTTCACAGACTGATGTTGTCAGAGACCATGCTCAGAGCTTGTGTGCAATTATCTACAATTGTGAAACAGTCCAAAGCCACAGAACTGTGTACTTTAAGAATATTCTTATGACAGCTGTGTACTGATACCTGTAGTTGATTCACTCTGTTTCCTGATCATAAAGCATTAGCTGATGATAGTGAATATAGGGCGTGGCAGTCAGACTTTGTGCCATGTCAATTCCTGTAATTTGACCCCTAAATGCTTAAAAAGAAGAAGAAGAAAAAGAAGAAGAAAAGCTGATACAGTGACCTTATAGGGTTCCATTCTCTTTTGAACAAGGCATGACTCTGATGGCTTTACTGACATTTTATTTTTATTTATTTATTTTTAAAGATTTATTTTTCCTTTATTTGAATGTCATTTACAGAGAGAGAGAGACAGAAAAATTTTCCACTGACTGATTTATTCCCCAATGACCACAACAGCCAGTACTGAGCCTATCCAAAATCAGAAACTATGAGATTTTTTCCAGATCTCTCACAATGATGCAGGGTCCTGATGCTTTGGGCTGTCCTCTACTGCATTCTCAGGCCACAAGCAGTGATCTGAATGGGAAGTGGTATAGTCAGGACACGAACTGGCATACGTATGGGATCCTGATTCATGCAAGGCAAGGACTTTTGCCAATAGGATACTGTGCTAGGCCCAATAATTCATTTTTTAAAGGTTTTTTTATTGCAAAGTCAAATATACAGAGAGGAGGAGAGACACATACGAAGATCCTCTGTCCGATACTCACCCCCATGTGACCACAGCAGCCTGAGCTGAGCCAATACAAAGCCAGGAACCAGAAACTCCCTATGGCTCTCCTACACTGGTGCAGGATCCCAAGGCATTGGGCTGTCTCTGAAGGCCTTCCCAGGCCACAAGCAGTGAGCTGAATGGGAAGTGGGGCCATCAGGTCTAGAACCACGCCTACATGAGATCCCTGCACGTTCAAGATGAGGATGTCCTCTGCTAGGCCACCATGCTGGGCCCAATAATTCTCTGAATCCATGTGCAATATTCTGAGAAGTTTCTGGCTCTTGGCCTTGAATTAGCTAAGCTTGGGCCATCATGACCCAATGAATGGAAGATCTTTCTTTCTATCTTTCTATCTTTCTTTCTATCTCCTTTCCATAAATCTGACCTGCCATTCCAATAAAAATAAATAAATCCCTAAACACATAAAACTTTTCAAGAGACCACAAATACTGAATTAGGCAATGTAGTGGTAATTATAAAATGTATTATGTATGTATTTTTATAGACTTGCAATTTTGAAAGAATTAAAATAGAGGCGGTGAGAGAGAGAGTATTCCATTCATTGGTTCACTTTAAAATGACCACAATGGCAAGAGCTAGGCTAGTCCAAAGCCAGGAACCAGTGTCTTCTTCCAAGTTTCCACATGTGTTCAGAGGTCCAACCTAGGCCATCCTCCACTGCATTCCCAGGTGCATTAGTATGGAGCTGGGTAGGAAGTAGAGCAGCTGGAACTCATGTCAGCTTCCAAATGGGATGAGGTTGCTGGAGTAGGTGGCTTTAACTATTACAACACAGGGCCTACCCCTTTAATTTATTATTTATGTGTAAAAAAGAGATAAATAGACCCATTAAATCTCTTAAATACACTTTCAAAAAGAGGTGATGAAAGAGTTTAGTGCATCAGTGTTCAAAGGAGCAATTCACAAGCCATGAACACTGGGCTTGTGTCTAACCTTGGGACACCACATGAAGACTTAAAGGGGAAATTAAAATCATGGCTCATGCTGAAAGAGAAATACATTTGCTTCCTGGACAGTTTGTAGCACAATTGCTTTTACTGACTTATAAAAAAAGGAAAAGCCTTCAATAAAGAGTATTCTGGGGGATTTGGAAACACCAACAAAAATATTTTTTTATCAGACCTATATTCAGGAGGTAACCCTCAATTAATGTTGAATATTAATCAAAAAAGACTTAAGGGACTTATTAACACTGAAGCAAATGTTTCTATTATAACATTGGATTTTGGGCCTGGACAATGGAGAAAGGTCAAGGTGCCAGTAACATTTTTAGGAGTTGGAAAGTTTTAGATGTTCAGCAATCTAAACATGCACTTACTTGCAATTTTGAAGAACAACAAATTTATTGAAAGTAACCTTTTAGCCTTATATAGCAGACTTAGGATTTACATTATTGGGGCAAAATTTACTTTCTAAATCACATACAAGTATTAACATAACTGAAGGCTCTTCTCCTTCAGCTTGGAGAATGATGAGGTCCATGGGATATAAAGAAGGACAAGGATTAGCGAAATTTTATCAGGGCACAACCTTCTTTATCCCACAACAAAATAATGATCAAAGGAGAGGCCTTGGTTGGTCAAAATTAGAGTAGAGGCCACTGACAAGCCTGTGTGGACAGAACAGTGGCCCCTTCCTCATGAGAATTTATAGGCCTTAAAACATTAGTACAAGAACAGCTAGATGCTGGACATATAGAGGAATCCAGCAGTCCTTGAAATTCTCCCATTTTTGTTATAAAAAGAAATCAGGATAGTGGAGAATATTATCAGACCTGCACAATGCTGATAAGTGCATTGAGCTCATGAGGCTGCTTCAGCCAAGTCTGCCAACACCTACGATGATTCCCCAAGATTGGCAAATCCTAATTATTGA